CTCCCTGCCCCCCACCCTCCTTAATTCCCCTCTCACTCTCTTGTCCTTAATCTATCTATATCTAATTTATACTTGCTTTGCCCTTTTGAACTCGTGTGAAAATATGACTTACTCAAGTACAGTTAGATGCACTAGTATTGTACTTTTTAATGCTTCCTGTTCAAAATATTCGTTTGGCTTCATCATCCAGTGCCAGATTTGCAACAAACACCGGCTATCATGGTTCTCCATTCATTCATTTGTTCGGATGCTCTTAAAAAAGCTACGTTTCCCTGATCTTTCCCTGTCACCCACTTGTTCAGGTTCCCCAAGTAGGTTGCTCTGGGCCTATCCCTGCCTCGCTTGCCCTCGACCATTTGGCTTACACTTCAAAAACTGCACTTTTAAATATGATAAACTTAAGAAAGAAAAGACAGCCCAAAACAATCGCCAATAATAAACACATTCTTCCTAATAACAAACCGCCAAATCTTGGATAAAATAACTTTAAAACGAAACATCAGGAACATTATTTTAACCCCAGGTTTGATAAGAGGCGCATCGTGATGTTTCATTGACAAGACACAGTCAGATAGATTATTATTTTTCAGGCACATTTTACAGGTGAATAATTTTTTTTTTTTTATTTCTGTCTTGACATTACTTAAGACACATAGATCTAGCATCTTGCAGTTAATGTTAGTTGTGTAGTGTGCTGTTTTCTTTTTCTTTAAATCCCCTGCCATGCGCATAAGTGGATATTTGGAATAAATAAAGTAATATTTGTTTCAAAGTTTTAAAATCTCTGTTCTGTTTTAAGCTGTTTCTGACATTTTTATTTTTGTGAAAACCTTAATATTTGCATACAAATTAACGTGTGGTAAGCCTTCAACGAGGTCTCAAAAAGAAATGGAAACACAGGAATACCATTTTGTGTTCGTTTGATCCCCCCTTTGCTCACGTGAGTGACGTGAGTCACTAGCTGGACTGTCAATACTGATCACCTTTAGCGATTGAATTGAATATTCATTGTTTCCCAGGTAACAGTATTGATTTATAGAACAATACATTTACCATTCTAGTAGTTATACGAGCAGAAAGCAGTAGTGTATACTATATAAGTGGACAAAACAGTGATGTTTGCGTTTTGTGTGACAGCTTAAATCATGACCTCCTCCTTCTCCTCCTCCTCCTCCTCCTCCTCCTCCTCCGACAAACAAACAAACAAAGAAACAAACAAATAAGCAAACAAACAAACAAACAAAAACAAAATAACAAACAAAATAACAAACAAAATAACTTAACATGACTTAAAAATCCAAAACTAAATAGAAGGATATAGGCCTACCCTGCCCCGAACTTTTCTTTTTTTTCAAATAAAAAAAAAAGAAAAAGAAATAAAAGCCCATTCCTTCAAAGAAACAAATAGAAACAGAACAAATAAACATAAATGACTACATATGGAAAGAATTGGAATCTGGAAGAGACATTGGCGGGAGCTAATATGAAAACCTGGTGGGGGTTGCTTCATGTATATGTTGATGGGCAGGAATTGTGAACAGATGACAGAGTGCTTTGAAAAACGTGCTTCTTCATTTAGACCTGCTTACATTAACTCGGGTTAGCAAATGAGGTACAAATGTTTTCTCGAGTACCTTAATAATGTATTTTACATGAGCACTCACACAGTGACACTCGTAGTCCTACCCGTGAACATTTTGACATACACATACATTTTAAAATAAAACGCACACACACTAAGATACATACAAACATACAC